ATGGATGAAAAACAAAGTATAATATTGCTATCATGAATCGTAAATGTAAAGTACGATGCTATAATGGATAAAAAGTAAATTACGTTTTTATTATGTAAAAAAGTACAGTTGATTGATATAATTGATAAGAAGTAAAGATATTGTCATTATGGTTCGATTGGTAATAGATGTTGTCATTATGGATTAATTGGTAATATTTTTTTTTATAATAAAGAAAATTATACCCTTATTTTGGTTTAAAAGTGTGGTGGATTTACTAACTATTTATATTTACCTAACCATTTTTTACGTACAAAGTTGCGAGAACAAGTTCCAAGCTTGGAACAAACCATCCAACAAACTCAACTTGGTATGGAAAATGAGATAGAATGAAGACAAACTCAGCAAAATTTGCAAATGCACCAATGACAAGCTCAACTAGATAAGAGTCTTACTCAAATTAGAGAACAATTGATGACCTTTATGAGATAATTCAACTCATCTGGTAATCCACCAAATAATTATTAGTTTTATGTTTTTAACACTTAGTTAAACATTTGTAATTGTATTTGACATTTATAATCTATTAGACAACTTTTATTGTATTTTCTATTAGTTTTGTGGTTAAAAATGAATATTATTATATGTTTAACGTATTGAGTTTTTTTTTTTTTTTTTTTTTTTTTTTGCATTTTGAGTAGAAAACTTTGGATATATATATTTTTTAAAACTATTGTTAAAAAAAAAAGTCAGTTTAGTGGCTAAGTTTAGTGGCTAAACTGGTTGAAATCCGACACTAAAAACTAAAAAAAGTCCTTCAAAAATCTGTAGGAAAATTCAATATTTGTCAACCTAGATTACACATGATGAAAATAGTCAAAGGCGATCTAAATAACTCTGTTGGAAATGGTCAAATGTAGCCAAGCCAGGTTCTTTGGTAATCTATTGATAATAAGTCCACTGGTGATCTATGTATGTCAGTAAATTTTTGACGAAAAAATCTGTTTGTAGTTCCTAAGAAAATTCATTGAAAAAGCCATTTATTGACAGATTTTCGATGAAAATGTTCATTGGAAATGGGCTCTTTATTTAGTAGTGGAAAACCCTAAAAAGTTCTTTAAAATAGTTTACCAAGGAAAACACACTCACAACAAGAAATACATCGATGAGTTTTGAATCACATGATACTAGTTAGAGCCAAGGAAAACCATAATTAATGTCACTGTTGCCCATCATAGTGTCTCAAATTGGTTTAAAAACTCCCGGAAAATGACTTACAAGCCCAACTAAGTTTTCAAAACGTTTCAAAAATCTCAATCATAATTTGTCTGTTCAAGAAACCCTAATGAACTTAACCTTTTTTCTACAAAAACCCAACGAAATTTCCAAACCGTTCAAAAATCCAAATCATTTTTTGTTTGTTCAAAATGTTAAATTCATTGAGTTTTTTTTTAACAGACAAAATATGATTGAAGTTTTTTTAAACGGTTTTAAAACTTCGTTGGTCCTAAAAGTCATTTTTCCAATATGATAACTTCCATAGAATTGAATAAAAATGTAACATAGTTGAGTTTTTTTTTAGATAAATGTTAAGTTTGTTGGGTTTTTCTGAACAGACATAACATGATTGTAGCTTTTTGAACTGTTTGGAAACTTGGTTGGGCTCTTAAGTCATTTCTCTAAAAACTCTTCGACGTTGTTTTCTGGCTCTAGCGGTATAAGGTGCAATTTGTGGGGTTTAAAAGATCCATGTGGAGATTTTGAAGGGGTAAATAAGTTCCTTTCCATGTCATAAGCCATGTCATAAGCCATGCCAATAACTTTTTTCTTAGATTCCAATTCAAGAAACCAGGTTGCATCCTCTGCTTCATGCATGTATATTTTCTCATCTATTCCATAAAGAATTTGTCACCATTACAATCAAATTTCAAAATTTCAAAAGGAAGCTTCTTTCCCCAAGCAACAACAGAAACTCCTCCTTCCTCTTACCAAATTCACCATAGTTAAACACGAATCTCTCCCCGCTGTCAACACCAACTTCCCAGATGGATGAACAAGCATATCGTTAACATCCTTTTTATGTATCTTCAATGTCTTTAGGTGAATGAAAGGGCCGATGTCATAGAACGAAATGTTACTGTCGTCTTAGGTGCAGAACAAGTTAAAAGGAAGAGAAGACATGGACAGTTAGGTATTTCTTGAATCATTCTTATCCATCAGATAGTTTCTTTATTTTGGTGTAAGTGGGGAAATTTTCCAATCCTTGATTAATGGAAAACGATTGTTTCTGAAATTGATAAATCAATGCTCCTTTAGCTTGTTCATACCTTTGATTTTTTTTTAGACAAGATTTCTTTGGTAGTTGATAGAAACAAGATACTCTCGACAATGTCTATGGACATTGAATTCAGTAACCAACTAATTAATAACAATAGTGTTTATCTGTTCCAATTTTGAAATAGATTAGAATCATAGTAGGCTTTTCCATAGAACCATTAATAAAAACCGATTTTGTTCTTACATGAAAGAGTGAGAGTCATTGATCTCTTCCATGCCGCAAAGCCTATTCCATCAAACACCTTCGATACCAAGATCGTGCAGGGATTATCTATATGAGTACACATGGGCAACCACATATTCAATTACCCCCACATCAACTATGATATGAGTGTCATATGTGCTTCAAATATAGTTATGACATACTATGTCGGTTGTCTTAGATAAAGGTGAAAAAATATGTCAGGTCAACATCCACTTTATAGAAAAAAACACTTTTTAATCCGATTTCAAAAAGTTCAACGGAAAATATTTTCATTAACCCCCTTAATATAAATGTATATAAGTTGTATCTAACAATTTCTATTTCATTAGATTCTTTTCTCAAATTCAAGGAGCCCCGGAATTCTCTATTCACCAAACGTTAGATAATGTTTTAGCTCCTAAAATTATTACATGTCATCATATTCCCATCCATTGTAAGAAGCAAGTGTACGTACGTATACATGCCAAAAAAAACATTCCATCTCTTTCCTGGCCACCGGTTCCATCTTTCCTATTGCATTTGTTCAGTTTTATTCATCGTTTCGATTTCCATTGTTAGAATTCAAAAACCTGAATCTTCATAAATCGTTAAAAGAAATCATAGTCATAATTCACAGATAATGAAAGAACAGAAAACAAGTTATGGAAATGGAGGTACGGGAGGGTTACCTAAACAAAGGACGCTTTCTGATCCAAACCTCTCGTTCTCATTTTCAGACACGGATGAAGAACTCAACAGCCGGCGGAGCGACTTTTCCGGCTATGATGCCCAGCGAACAAGCATTGAGGGCTCACCAATGATGAAGTCACCATGGAACCAGGGTACTCCTTTCCTTCCATCTGCATGGTCAAGCTCTAACATTGACGATCCAAATTGTCCTAAAAATGGTCTTGTTGGCTCCTTGGTACGTGAAGAAGGCCATATTTATTCACTCGCAGCCTGTGATGATCTTCTTTACACAGGTTCAGACAGCAAGAATGTCCGTGTATGGAAGAACATGAACGAGTTTGCAGCTTTTAAATCCAACAGTGGATTGGTGAAGGCGATTATCATATCCAATGGAAAGATTTTCACCGGACATCAAGATGGAAAAGTTCGTGTATGGAAACCAAGCCGTAGGAAGCCAACCCTTTACAATCGTGTGGGCACCTACCCCTCGTTCTTTGCGATCCTTAAAAGTTCAGTAAACCCATGGCACACTGCAGTTTGGGTCAAACACTGTGATGCCATTTCTTGTCTTAGCATGAATGAAGAAGCAGGGTTGCTTTATTCAGGGTCATGGGATAGGACCTTTAAAGTATGGAAAACGTCAAACTCAAGATGTTTGCAGACCGTGAAGGCGCATGATGATGCAGTGAACTCTGTTATCTCCACCGTAGAAGGGTATGTGTTCACGGGATCTGCAGATGGGTCTGTGAAGGTCTGGAAACGTGAAGGGAAAGGAAGATCGATGAAGCATATCTTCGTGAAGACTCTATTTAATCAAGATAGTGCTGTGACGGCATTAACAGCGTCTAGTACAGGCTCGTTTGTGTATTGCGGGACATCGGATGGAATAGTGAACTTCTGGGAAGGAGGAAACGAGTTGGCTCATGGTGGCGTCCTCAATGGACACAAGTTAGCGGTTCTATGTCTTTCGGCTGCTGGTAATCTGGTGTTCAGTGGATCAGCTGATAAAATGATATGTGTATGGAGGAGTGAGGGGATTATCCATACATGCTTGTCGGTGCTGACTGGCCATTCTGGACCGGTGAAGTGTCTGGCGGTGGTGCGGGAGGCGGAGTCAGACGGCGGTAAGGGAAGATGGAAGGTTTATAGTGGCAGTTTGGATAAATCGGTCAAAGTTTGGAGTGTGTCAGAGCTTGCACCTGACATGCAAACATTGGCTCTCATGAATGGAGACGTTTCATTGGATCATATACCATCGGCAAAGTATTGAGTGTTGTATTTTTTTTTTTTTCATGGGGTTCCGTTGTGTTTAGTGCTTAAGTGGTTAATCTCCATACATGAAATTCAACGTAAGAGAATACCCTGGGGTTATATGCAAGGAGGAAACAAACACTACAAGAAAATTCCAATTTAGCTACGGAAAAATTTCATAGCAAAAAGCTGAAATTCCGTAGCTAAAGTTGAATAACTACGGAATTTGCTACGCAATATATCAATTAGACTCCGTAGCTTTATTTCTTGTAGCAAAATGTTTAGCTACGGAATTATAATTCCATAGCAATTTTGCTATGATAGTTTCAACATCTATTTCGTTGCAATTTTAGTTTTATTGCAAATTCCGTAGCTATTTTTCATAGCAAATTCAATAGATTTTTGTTCCATAGCAAAGTTCGTAGCCATCTGTTCCGTAGCAAATTTCATAGTCATTTGTTCCATAGCGAATTCCGTAGTAATCTGTTTCGTACCAAATTCCGTAATCGTTTGTTCCATAACAATTTTCCGTAGTTGTTTGTTCATCAACAACATGTCCCGTAGCAATGAATTCCAAAGCAAATTCAATACGATAAAAATATTCAACAAAATCCAAAATTTTCAATTATAATATTCATAAAAATATATAAAAATGTAGTAAATATGAATTTAATAGTTACATCAATTTTACAAATATATCATCAAAAATTCTTCTACAAGGGTATCTAACCATCAAAACTGAATATTAATTACAAATACAGTCAACAGTTTAAATTTGAACCGCGGTGTACACACAAATAGCCACATATGCTCGACCAAAATGGCAAAACCTGCAAAATGAATATATGCTCTAAAGTTGAAAATATCATAAAAATGAAATTTACAAAATCAACTTGATTAAATTTCAATCTTTTGTATGAAATCCATTTTGTTTTACTTTGACAGTTTTCCTAGTAGATTGTAAATCTACCGACTTTTTAATTTGTGATATTTTCCTCCGGTATCACAACTAAGTCAATATGATACCTTGGATATGTTTTCTGGATCTAAGGAAAGTATATTAAAATATATTCTAGTCAATACATTAAGTCAAAATAAATGATCATTTAATGATGAAATCACAAACATTACTTGATGTAGATAGCTAACTCGAAGTGCCTGAGTGTTGTTTCTTTTTAGTAGTGGTGTAATACCAATGTTATCCGGATGATGTTGTGATACCAGGGGTCACTTAGACATTCAATCAATGGAAATATAGCTTCAATTATACAAGAATTTTGTACCTTGACAAAAATTGATACTTTTTGTTACTAAGCAGGTCATTTAAACGGTCCATTAATGTCTTTTGCAGGGTCTAAAGTATAATATGAGTAGTAGTATGTAAATTACCAGATGCAGCTTGTGCTTTTCCTGTACTTGAACAGATCTCAATATAGACTCCAATGCAAGGACCTGTGAAGAAACTTTCATCAACTTAATTTCTTTTCAATGATGAGGGTGAGGAGGGATTTATGTCTTTTTCACAAACGAGAATAAGGAAGTATGTGTTGCTTACTTGTTTGGAACAATCATTAAATGAAATGTGATCTCATTGCAAAGTTGTTGGTAAGTAGAATCTCCTAATTCAGTAAAGCCCCTATCAACCAATGATACATTATAAAAGTTATCAACATAAACATTATAATAATTTATATATCAAAATACAAGTACTCCACTATGTATTCATCAAAGTTCAAAGATAGGCAGAAAAAGTGCATTTCACACAAGATGTTAATAGACTAACAAGATTGACATAAGAAAGTTAAAGATGATACATAGTCATCTAACAAAGATATGCACAAATCCTACAACCTTGCTTATAAAAAATAATAATAAAACTATTCATTAAAAAGCATGTTTGCAAACTCAAGAAAACCATAAGCAACTCACTTCAAACACTATTTTAAAATCAATGGCAAGTATCACTTTATCTCAGATGTTAGAGATGGACATTATTCCATAAAGATAACCAAAATTGGGTTGAGTGAACATCATTTGTTTACTTTATCTTCATGGTGGAATACTTGCCATCTCGGGGCATTATGGTCTTTCGCCTCTTTTTACACTTTAATTCTCTATTTTATTTTATTCATTTCCTTTTGTGTATTGATTGCCATCAATAGACCTAACAATTTAGTTGAAAATAAAAGCATAAGACTTGATTGATGATTTGTGGAAAATGTAAACGGTTATTATCTACTTGCTCAAATTTGACACATTTTTAATGTATTTCTTTTGGTAACTATGTATTACAATATTAGTATATAAAAGAAATCGTATGTCTTTCAATCCTAAAACTTGTGTGAAGTGATTAGTGCAAAGCTAAGATTTGCGCTAGAAAAACAAATAAAACAAATCAAAAAATGAATTGAAAAGAGAGAATATCATCTAGACCTTGACAGAACTATGATCAAGTTGAACTCGTGTACAAAAATTAGAATAGTTTAAGCAAGATCATTAAAATTCATAACTCGTGTACAAAACATAAAAAAGGACTATAAAGAAATACTAGATCACATTAATCCATAACTCTCTTTATATAGTACTTGTACATGAGTATAAAACCTATGAAGGTTAATGATGTAACTTGAAGTAAATTAACTTAATTAATCTATGATGCTCAGACAGTAAAGTTGCATCAATAATTCATTATTTATCTAGTCAAAATCCACAATTCGCATTAAATGCAATCAAATTCACTAATAAAAACTTGAATCCAGCTGCGTGTGTGGATTGGTAGAATTAACATAACATTAACTCGCCTCAAATTCAATGGATAGATCAACAGATCCTTTAGGTCATTGGATGATAGAAGGAGAAAATGGAGGAAACATAAAAGAGAAGAATGTTACCTGGTAGGGAGGAAGATGATCGAGAAAAATCTACCGATTGATGGAGCAAGCGCCAAATGACAGATCAAAAAAGAGTGAGAGAAGCTCCCTATAGAGTGAAGTTCGGTCGATAATGGCGTTAGTTGAGACTGGGGAAAACCGCAGAATGACGAATGAGGAAATAGGGCAAAATAATGAGCAAAAGTCCCGCCTATGATTAACCTATACATACATAGATGCAATATAAACACAGGTTAACTGCAACATCCTATGAGAATTAATCAAATAGATAAGTAGATGGATGGCAAACCTGTAGTATCCTTCTTGTTTGAAATCCCGACTGCAGTCAAAGATCTGGAGATTTTTTAGCAAATTCTTTTGTATTGAGCATTCTGAACCAATGGGAAAGTAGTTTATGATAGAAGATTAGAAAGAAAACCACTTGAAATCGGATTGTTATATAAATGGAGGATTAAAGAGATTGCTTGTTAGCATCAGCGACAGCGTAATTGGGAGGTTGAGGACGGCGACAAGTTGAGAGATGGAGAGATGTGATCGGCGGAAGGTTAAATGTTTGATTTGGGGAGGAAGTATAATTTGGTCATGTGATTTTACCAATTTGCGCTAAGAATTCATTTGCTTACATATCACGTAGCCGCTTCTAAAGAGGAAATATATAAGCCCAACTTCGTTTATTTTTTTGGTGAATTTCATTATTTTTTTGTTTTTTGAATTAAGTCGTACTAAAGACATGTTTACTTACAAAATCTAATGCTTCATTAGAAATTTCAATTAAATACAATCTGGTATGTATGTTATAAAATGTGACTTTGCAAGACAAGGGGAGCATAAATTTGATAAATATATACAACTTTTTTAAGTTATTTATTCATTTATTTAATTCTTTTATAGGGTTATTTTCAAGCTATGATTTCCTGCATCGAAGAACTTTTACCTTCATTGAATGTTAAAATGAAGAATCCGGATGTATTAATAAGTTTAGGTTGAGAAAATGCATGATTCAAATGTATGTTGTTTTATTGTTCAATAAAATATTATAATAAAAAATCATATTTATATTTATATTTCTTTACAAATAAAACAATGAACATTTTTTTCTTATTATTTACATGTTCAAATAGAAAGCGTAGGTGAAAGCGGGATGGGTGGTGGTTATGGTAAATGTGGGGTGTGTTTTCTATTTTTATAAATTAAAAGTAAAAAGAATTACAAATATTTAAAAAAAACATTAAGGATAATGGTAAATAGCTAAGAAGTTTCATTATGTAGCAAAGTGGCTACATAGTTTCGTAGAAATTTTTGTAACAAAAGAGCTATGGATTTTTCCACTGTAGCAAAATAGTTATGTAAATCAGTTTTGTATCAAATTTATGTAGCATAATAGCAATGGAATTTCATTACGTAACAAAATAGTTATGGATATCGTTTCCATAACTAAATTCCGTAGCAAAATAGTTATGGAAAATCATTTTGTAGCAAAATTGCTACGAAATTTAGTTTCATAGTAATTTTCGTAGCAGAATATCTATGAAATATCACTTTGTAGAAAAATTGCTACGAAATTCTATTCCATAACTAAATTTCGTAGCAAAATAGCTACGAAATTTAGTTTCGTAGTAATTTCCGTAACATAATAGCTATGACATTTCACTTCGTAGCACAATAGCTACGTAATTCAATTCTATAACTAAATTTCGTAACAAAATAACTACGCAATATCATTTTGTAGCAAAATAGCTACGGAATTTAGTTTCGTAGTAATTTTCGTAGCAAAATAGCTATGTATTTTAATTTCGTAGCAAATTCGATAGTAAACTAATTACCGATTACAATTCCGTAACAATTTTCCGTAATTAGTTCCGGAATTTTATTTCGTACAAATTTCCGTAACAAAAAATTTACGGAAAATCATTTTGTAGTATATTTCGTAGCAAAATAGCTACAAAATATGATTTTGTAGCATTTTTCCGTAGCTAAATTGAAATTTTCTTGTAGTGAAATTGATTAATCGAGGATTTTGGATTCTTTGCTGGTGAAAAGAATAACAAATTAGAGAGTAGAAAGCTTTAGCGAGAGTGAATGTATTCTATTTCTCAAGATTTAAAAACGTATAGCTTGGACTTGTATCTATATACAATGTATATTATTATAATGTGAACAATAATAGAAAACTAGCTCAACCATATATAATGGGAGCTATTTTGATGTCCGGTGACACGATACGTCGGATACTAGCTCAATCATGAACTAAAAACGTATAGCTTGGACTTGATGTCCGGTGACACGATACGTCGGATACTAGCTCAATCATGACGTCTCGTGGGTTAATGAGCTCATTGTATATTCCAGTGAAATGGTGGTAGTGTTCATGGCTTGCGATGTGGATGCATGTGTGTGTGGGCTTTTTGTCGAGAAGGAGTCGTGAATAACCACCATGGCAGCCGGCCAAGGTGGTTGCCACCGTCAACACCACCATTAGTCGTTGCTATTGCCGTCATTCATGCTACTGTCGTCGCCAAAGGCCACCAGGTGGGTGGCTGGGTCCATTTTGCAAACAAAAAACGTGTGTATTTCTACTATGAGTGTGTGGGGTTGTTTGGCCGGAATTCGCGAGAAAAGCCGCCACCACCACCACCTTGTACCACCGCCGACCACGACAAGGGTGGTTGTGTGTGTGTGTGGGGGGGGGGGGGGTTAACGTATTGGGTGTGTTTATTTTAGGGATATTGTGTTGTATTATTGTAATTGGTGACCGGAATAATCAAGAAATTCATAACCACCACCGTAAGGTGGTGGCTGCCGCCTTCTGCCGCCATGTTGGGTGGTAGTGTGCTTTTGCTTGTGTTTAGTTTACTTTGGTGATGCTTGGACATAATTGGACTAGAGCCATAACCACCACCATTAGGTGGTGGCTACCGCCGTAAGCCATCATTGACCACCACTACCCGAGGTTGTAATGGGTGGTGCCCGACTCATTTCACCCTAGTTGACCTAATGAAACCCTAAGTGATCTAAAGACTTAGCCTTTGTACCTAATTGGTGTGTTTTGGGTTGGAAACCCTAATTAGGGTTTAGAAAACCCTAATCTTGGAGATTTTAATTTGGACTTATCGGGACCCACGTTTTGGGCCATTGGAATTGAATTATAAATTACACTCAATCACACCATATGATTTATCTAGTTGAGTGATGGACTTAATGGATTAAGTCCTTAATGGGTTAAGTAAGAAACACTTAACCCTAATCGTTATTTTATGTGAAAACCCTAATTTTGCTTGGGCCTTACTATTGGGTTTTGGTGATTGGGCTAATGATGGGCCATCCAAGAACAAGCATATGGACTAGAATAATTAAATGGGCTTTAGGGTAAGGCCCATGTGAGGGGTTTGGACCCAATTTAGAAAATTAGACCATAGATGGCCCATAATTGGGCCTTGATGATTATGAGATGTTGGACCACTGAAATGTCGAATGTTTGGACTAGAATAAATGGTTGAGCCTTAGGGTAAGACCATGTAAGGGTTTGGGCCCAATTTGGAAAATTGGGCCACATGTTGCGCTTTGGTTCATTGTTTGACTTTTGGGCCTTTGGATTGGGCCTTGGGCTTGAATCAAGCTAAGTTGGGGGTAAAGTAGTCCTTTACCCCAAACATGACTTATTAAGTGGGTGTTATTTTGATGTTGACATTTTGGGAATCTGTCATCTAGCAGCTAGAGTTTTGTCTGCGGGAGTTCAACATTGTGATGTGAGTTACCTTCCAGTAGGAGTGGGCCGAAGACACCAATGTCGGCCTACTAGTAGTTGATTATAGTATAGATGATTGTCTTTGAGATAACTATCTGGTATGCTACTATCTGTTACACTATTTGTGCTAGTATACTATGATATTATGTGATAGTGGTAGGATGGGGACTAGTCCCCGGATCCGGTTGAGATAAACCGACAGGGTAGGTCGGGCACCCATATATGCCTAAAAGTATGTTATGCTATGTTATTATATGGTAGTGGTAGAAATTGAAATAGTCCTAGTAACCAATTGAAATAAACCGGAAGGTAAGTCAGGCACTCAGATATGCCTGGCAAGGTAGGTCGAGCACCCAAATATGCTTGACAGATGTGGGTCTGGCACCCCAATATGCCTGACAAGGGTAAGTTGAGCACCCGAATATGCTCATCAGGGTAGGTCGGGCACCCAGATATGTCTGGAAGTATGTTTATTGTATAGTATGTGGTATGATGGAGGAACTTACTAAGCGTCATGCTTACGGTTTTCAATTTTGGTTTCAAGTTTTCAAGGAAAGGAGTCAGATCGATCTCAGCGCATCACACTATGTTTTCCGCATATGAGATCTTTGGGATTACACTCTGATATTGTTTTATAATAACATGTTTTGATTATTGATATACTGATTTTGACATGGGATGATATTATGAACATTTTTATATTATTGGTCTTTATAACAACTTATTTAAAAATAGAATGTTTAATCATGAATTTTGGGATGTTACATGTATTGTGTTGGAGGTTTGCTGGATTGGGTAAGTCGACTTCCTGCTATTTTTTAATGAGTGGGGTTCGTTATATGCCATTATGTATAACGAAAGTCTTCAGTTGAAATTCAGGTTTCTCTTGGGTTCCGAATGATCTGTAGCGGGAGGATCATTTTCCGTATGTTATTCATTCCATGGTCAGGAATGATCGTACCTGGTTGAGTCGGTTTGAGTTGTGAGTCATTGAATGGTAGTTAGAGCCCTAAGTGGGGAAGAATTGGGAGTTCTCAAAGTTGAGTATCAGGCATTGAAGGATTTGTCGGTTACTGTTCGGACTGTTGTTTTCATATTATTGGGTAGATATTGATCAGTGAACCTCTCCAGAAGCGGGTATGTTCAGCTCCAGGTGGGTTTGTGATTCTCTGGTTTAGGTGTTAATATGTCCTCAACCATTGGTCATTGAGTCATCTTTCAGCGGGAATTCCTCGAAGGATTCAAGAGGCGATACTTAATACAAGGAATGCATCACCCACCTTCCAATACAATGTGCTTATGTTTCCCTTGGTCCCTTAGGTAAGTTCGCCCTCAATGGTAGAGTGGATTTTCTATTCATAGCAGACTCGGGTTTGGCAACCTTTGAGATCGCCTTGGAAGTCTTCTCGGGCTAAGTTTCGTGTGGGTAGGATCCGTGAAGTCTTGATTAAGTATGTGATCTTGTTTCGATCGGTGATGTGGATGTCTTTTGTTATTTATGGAAGTGGTGTGTTGCTTTATCTTGGGAAACCTTTCCTTTTGGATGAGGGTTGGGTTTCTCTAAGAATATGCATGGTTATGTTGGGTTGTAGCTTTCGAATTGGGTCAAGATTTCAATCGTTATCCTATCCTCGGGTTAGGTGCGACCATGGGTTCGTAAGGTTTTGTTGGGTAACAACTTGTTCTATAAGTGAATCGTACATGGTCAGGATTATAGTCGGAGAAGGCATAAATCAGTTAGCTTGGATAAGGGCCGTTGTGAGTGCCAATCAGGTATCAAAATGAATCTGTGGAATGATTTCTCTGTATTTCTATTGGTTTGCAAGTTGTTTTTAGGATTTTGACTTTCAATATTGGAAATTGATTATGATGTCACAAGTCATAGAGCTCTTTATGATGTCCCGAGTGGTTATTCAGGTGGGGGTAAACCTGAGCTGATAGAAATGGTTGTAACATGGAAATTTTTGGTTGATCATCTTTGCTCGTCGCATCAGTGGATAGTAATGGAAAACCCGAGAGTTAAGTATTATTTAGGTATTAGTACATCATATGATTTGGTTCTAGGTGAATTTTTCTATCAACCTGTTTGAGGATCTTTTCTGTATGATTTGTGGTATCTCCAATCGGAAACTTGGGGAGGATTCATGGATGGCCATTTCGAGATGGCTTATAGTGGAAACTCGCACTGGAAATCGTGAGTGTATCCGTGCGAGGCATGAACCCTGGAAGTCAGTATGGTAATTAGGGAATCTTTTGATTGGCGGTGCGAGTCGTGACTTTCAGGAGAAAGGCGTGATATCGTCGATGGTAGAATTGAGGGTTGTTGTGTTAGAATGTCCCTGTCTTTCAAGTTTTGGGAATCAGGTTATATCTTTCACCTTATTGTCTATGGCGACACATTATGTTGGGAGGGTTAAGGCAGTCCTGCTCTATGTAGTAGGCCAAGATACCCAGTGTGAACCGACAGTAAGTCGTAGGCACGGAGGCTCAGGGGGAGCGGTAGGGTTGCGGCGGTAGGCCAACAAACCCTCAGAATTTCAACCCGATGGTTAGTTGGATTCGACTTGTTGGTATTCTAGCCTGAGGCTGAACAGGCCAGTCATGGGTGTTGGTGGTTATAAGCTGGCAATGATGGGTATATTGGTTCAAGAGTTAAAAGAAGCATTGTCGGTCGGTACAAAAAGGTTCATCTCCTGGTTGTCTTTAACACCTGTTTCCTGGTATGTATTTAATTCAAGTAATTCTTATATTTTCTCTAGGACTCGACGAGTTGGGGGCCCAACTCATTAAGTAGACTTGTGATCCGCGAGAAGTTTAAGTGACCTACTTGACGAGTCGGGAGACCAACTTATCGAGTAGATGCTGTTCGAGTGAAACCCTAAATTTGAGGGTTTTCACCTTATTTAAATAACTTATCTCAGCCTCCATCATCCTGTATACTTACAGAAGACATTATCCTGAAACCCTAGCCTTGTTTGAGTGTTCTAAGGCCATTTTTGTGCATTTTGGTGGATTGTGAAGCTTGATAAGAGGAAAGGAGTTTGGGGGTTCAAGTTGAACTAGAAGATCCATAAATTGTGCCCCATTTCCAACCCATTTAAGGTAAAAAGCTTCTATCTTGACTTTCCATGTGTTTAATCATCTTTAGGGCTTGGTTTTTGGTATATTTAGGGCATTCTAAGCCATTTTTGGGTTGTGGGATGCAATATGGAGTTATGGCTATAAATCTTGGACCTTGGAGGGTTCTCATGGCATAAAGGTGCCAACTTTATGGCCATGAGAGACCCATGTATCTTGTAGACCTCTTTTTATGGCTTTTTGAGCAATGTCCTTATGCATGTACACAAAATTTGAAGCTTTATGTATAAAATGGACCCTAGGAGGCCAAATCTATGGTTTTGACGCGTTAAGACCCTTTATAATCGACTGTATAGTTTTGGACATAGAGGGACTCGGCGATTCGGGGTGTATTTTCCGACAAATCCTTTCTGTTTTTGACCAGTTGTTAAGATCAAAGGTTCCCCCCAGTTGTTTAGGTTCACTAGGGACCTGGAAATCATAGGACTCGACGAGTATATGAACAGGCTCGCCGAGTTCAAGGCAATATCCCAGCCACATAAAGACGGACTCGGTGAGTTCAAAGGGAACTCAGCGAGTCATAGACTGAACATCTTCTTATGGATGAAGATGAACTCGGCGATTTCAAGGATGAACTCGGCGAGTTGGTTGAA